TTTCAGACCTCCCTCTGATTGGTCCAATCCTGCTGTGTGTGTTTCAGACTTCCCTCTGATTGGTCCAATCCTGCTGTGTGTGTTTCAGACTTCCCTCTGATTGGTCCAATCCTGCTGTGTGTGTTTCAGACTTCCCTCTGATTGGTCCAATCCTGCTGTGTGTTTCAGACATCCAGGAGTTTTACGAGCTGACTGTTTGTGAGAACCAGACGTCTAGCAGCCCAAACACACCTGGTCAGGTAAGAACAAACAGTCATTTGCATGACAACACCTGACTCTGTTACTTAGCAACAGCTGCAGCAGCTTCCGCGGTGCAACAGCTGCATATCACCGTGGCAACAGGAGCCCAGCCCCCACCTTCTCCTCTCTCTCTCCTATTCTGGACGGATATCTCTCGTCCTTCTTCCACCTCGGCTCAATGAGGTCCCCCCCCCGTACTAACACAGAGGTTCTCCTCTTCATCGCTCCCTCCTCCTCCTCCTCCTCTCAGCCGACAGACGGAGGGACAGAAGGGGCGAGCGAGCATTTACTCACAGAGAGAGAGAGAGCATGAGTGTGTGAGGGAGTGAGTGTGTGTGTGGAGATGTGTGTGTGTNCCTCCTCCTCCTCTCAGCCGACAGACGGAGGGACAGAAGGGGCGAGCGAGCATTTACTCACAGAGAGAGAGAGAGCATGAGTGTGTGAGGGAGTGTGTGTGTGTGTGAGAGTGTGTGAGTGTGTGTGGGGTGGGGGGGGATATGGACTGCCTCTGCATTGTCACCACCAAGGTAGGAGCTGAGCGCCGCATCAGAACACGGAGAACACACGCGTGTTCCGGTCCTCATAAAGAGACAAGGTCCATTTTTTCACATGTGTGTTTGTTTGTGACATCCCACCTTCTGCTGCCTTCATGTGTGTTTGTGTTGGTGTAGCCACAGTAGCATGTTAGCTCAGGTTAGCAGTTAGCAGGGCAGCAGCCAGATGTTGCAGCAACATGTGGAGGATTCTGCAGGGTTCTGCAACAGGTCTGGTTCTGGTTGGAGCAGACGGCTGAGATGTTCTGATGGCTCAGAGGGAATCCCAGGTTTGGATCAATAGAAGGTGTTCTGATAAACCCGAGTGGTTCTGTGGACCAGGTTCTGTTCAGAGAGCTCCAGTTCTGGGCTGATGGTATCGTTCTTCTGTCTGGACCAGGGAGGTTCAGCTGGAGCAGGATGGTTCTCCAGAACCTTGGTGTCGGTCCGGTTCAGGCAGCAGAATCTACTGACTCTGGCTGCTCTGTTCCTCCTGTTAACGGTACCGGCTGGTTCTGTCTGTCCCATTTAATGGATCTGATCGGATCTTTAATCTGAACTGATCTTCATCTTCAGAATCGTTTTATTTATCAATCCTTCTGAAAGGACCCAAACATCTGCTGCTTATAGGAACTCAGTTTATGAATGAATAATAAACATGATATGGTTTAATAATGAGAGAAAATAATTGATTGAAATGTTTGGTTATTAGAATCAAAGCAAAGCTGAGCTGAGAGTTCAGCACTGTGGACAGCTCCTCTCCAGATGTCCTCCTTAGAACCTGCTGCTGATCTTCTCTGTGGACCATTGGTCTGAATATTCGGTTCTGATCATTAATCAGTGGATCATTCTGTCCTTCTTAAATCCATGGAGGGAGTCAGAAAACATCTCTGGAAGAACGTCTACCAGAGAAGAAGTCCTTCAATTGTCTATTGACTGAGCATGTCCAGTCCACGTCTGTCCTCTTGTCCTCGGTGCCAAGGCCAACGTCTATCCTCTGATCCCATGGTACCATTGTCCATGCCTGTTCTCTCTTTCTTCTTGTAACATGGTCCAGGCCTGTCCCCTGGTACTGTGGTCCGAGTCTGTTCTCATGTCCCCTGGTGCTGTCCTCATTTATGTCCACTTGTGCCATGGTCCCCATCAGTCTTCCTGTCCCTCCCTCCACTGAGGCTCTCTCCTTGCAAAGATCCTGGTTCTGGTTTTCAGCTCTAACTGGACCCTGGTTAGTTTATGGTTCTGGTCCATTCTACAGAGAGTCTGGAGCTAAAGCTGTTTACCTTCAATAAAAAGGACAACCTGGAGCTTCGTTTGGACCAGTCTGGATCTGTAAATCCACAGAACCTCCTCAATGTTATTGTTAACTTCTGGATTCAGATCCTGACTGAGTTACAGAACCCCGACCCACATGAACCCAGTCAGAACCTCCCTGTCAGCTCCAGCCACACATCTGTGATCCAGGACTGACTGATGCAGGAGGAGAACCGGATCAGAACCTCCATGATCCTTCTGATGGTCTCAGCTTAGACTAGAACTCTGGTCTCCCTAATTCTTCTGGTTCTGATCTTAGGCCAGCTCTGTTCAATCCAAGCGGTGAAATCAGAACCGGGTCAGAACCGAGTCAGAACCGGGTCAGAATCTGGTCAGAACCGGGTCAGGTTTGGTGTGCAATAATAAGGTAATGATGTCAGCATCTCTCTGTCTTTATGAATCGGCTCTGGCTCCGCCTCCTCTGTCAGTTACCAGGCAACCAAGCTTCTCAGCCTGGGATGGGGGGTTTCCTGTAACCATGGTAACCACCTCGCTAATCTCAGCTCGTTTCCTGTAGTTTTTTCTTTCATTTCTCTTGTCTACTTTCTCCTCTCTTTAAACAGGGTCAGGATGAGCCAATCAGGCAGAGAGGGAACGCTGGACGTTTACTAACCGTAGGCTGTCAGACAATCTGGCACTGCCAGCTGGTCAGAAGGATGGGAGGCAGGTGGGAGGAATGAGGGCTAATTAGACTGGTTGCCTCAACCCTAATGGAGACTCTGGGTCCAGCTGACTGAGATGAGACCAGAGCTTCATTTTTATGGCATTAGATCTAGTAAACTTTTATCTAAACGAGTTTTTGTTTTCTGATGTAAATATTAAACTGGGTTGATCAGAGTCTTGCTCCAGTCCAGTTTTGTCCAGGTTGGATCAGAACCAAACCACAGACAATCATTACCTAAAAACTTAGGAATGGTCCTTTAGTTTAGCTCCAACAGCGAGATGTGAAGCTGCTGCAGCTGTTTAGCTGCTAGCATCTTCTAGCTGGTCCGGATGGGAAAATGGATCTTTGATTTAAATTAAATTACATGGATAGCATCGCTTGCTGTACTCAGATAGAATAGATAGCTGCTAACAGTTAGCAATGACAGCTGCTAATGGTTAGCAAATTATAGCTGCTAACAGGTAGCAATGCCAGCTGCTAACAGTTAGCAATGATAGCTACTAACAGTTAGCAATAACAGCTGCTAATGGTTAGCAAATTATAGCTGCTAACAGGTAGCAATGCCAGCTGCTAACAGTTAGCAATGATAGCTGCTAACAGTTAGCAATGATAACTGCTAATGGTAAGCAATGATAGCTACTAACAATTAGCAATAACAGCTGCTAATGATTAGCAAATTATAGCTGCTAACAGGTAGCAATGCCAGCTGCTAACAGTTAGCAATGATAGCTCCTAACAGCTAGCAATGATAGCTGCTAACAGGTAGCAATCACAGCTTCTGACAGTAAGCAATGATAGGTGCTAACAGTTAGCAATAATAGCTGCTAACAGTTAGCAATGATAGCTTCTAACAGTTAGCAATGATAGCTTCTAACAGTTAGCAATGATAGCTTCTAACAGTTAGCAATGATAGCTGCTAACAGTTAGCATTAATAGCTGCTAAGAGCTAGCAATGATAGCTGCTAACAGTTAGCAATAATAGCTGCTAACAATTAGCAATGATAGCTTCTAGCTGTTAGCAATGATAGCTGCTAACAGCTAGCAATGATAGCTGCTAACAGGTGGCAATGACAGCTGCTAACAGTTAGCAATAATAGCTGCTAACAGATAGCAATGATGGCTGCTAACGGTTAGCAATGATAGCTGCTAACCGTTAGCATTCTTAGCTACTTAAATACTAATAAAGGATGTAGAGAGAACTCAACCTCCTGTCTGTGGTCCAGACCAGGACCACATACTGGACCAGATGAGACTGCTGGTTCTGAGACCAGCTGGAACTGGACTCTGTGAGAAAGATTCTGATGGATTCTGGTTACAGATCAGAACCTGGAGGTTAGAACCAGATCTGCTAGATAGGAACCTGTGTTCAAAGTGTTTGAGGCAGACTGAGACCAGAGATCTGGAACCACTGCTGGTTCTGAGGTGACTTGATGTCTTAGTGCTGAAACTAAGGGACTGGTTGACCGATGACCAATCAGATGAGTCAGAGTGAAAACTAAGTACACCCTAGTTATGGCTTTAACTAGTTCTGCAGGTACAAAGAACCAGACTTCCCGTTGATGACTGTAGGTTCTGTACAGGGCACCAGGATCTGGGTCTGGTTCCAGGTTCTTTTTAGTTCTATAGGCTCTGATTAAAGCAGCCTAAGCTTTAGGTTCTGGATGTGGTTCCAGGTTCTGTATAGAACATTTGGTTCTGTAAGATCTATCATATGTGCTGGTTCCATGTTAGTGATTGTTTTCATTTCCCATCAGAACACCATTCAGCTCTGATCCAGAACAGAACCAGACCTGCCTCTAACAGCTGGACTGACCTCTGTCTCTGCAGAAGTACCGTTACCAAGACGATGAGACTCCACCTGTGGACCCCAGCCCTGGTCACATGACCATTGGACGCAGCGCTGAGCTGAGCCACGCACACCTGGACGGATACACACACCCAGCAGCACTCACCGTAGGTACCAACCCACCCCAGAGTTCCTCTGTTTGAGCTGAGGTTCTGGTTCTGGAGTGAAGGCCGGATGGATCAGGGTGCAGTTCTCTGTGTGACCAACAGGAGGCAGCGGCAGCCTGAACCGCTGCATGTTGGTTTCTAATGAGCCTCCATCTGCCTGCTGCCCTGCAGACACAGTCAGATAATTAGGGACCAAACAGAAGCAGCAAACAATCTGAAGCAAATCAAAACAAAGAAACGCCTAACCCAGAATGGGTCTGAATCTCTACATCTGTGGCCGGTTCTCTGTCCAGCAGAACCAGGTTCTGTAGAACCAGAAATAATATGATGGAGATACTGAGGAGCAAATACAACCGTCTGGTCCACTCATTCCTAAAGGGAAAATGGAAAACATGATTTTTATGCTTCTACACCATCTTTTCATGGATTTTCTTCTTTAAGAAATGTGGACAGGTTCTGGTTTCCATTGACCGGATGTCAGAATAAAGTCAGTGGAAGAATCGGTCCGTTTAACCAGAACCGCAGATGTTCTGCTGAGCAGGAGGTTAGAAGAGATGCTGTTCAGGTTGTTCACAGATCTGTGAAGATCTAATCCAGATCAGAATCATGGAGGTCCAAAGAGTTTTACCTTTTTATTATTTAAAAGACTCTCTAGGACATTCTGTGAGGTCCTCTAGGGTGTCCATCCTGTTGTGGTGAGGTGTTCCACCCCCACAGGGATCCAGCTGTGAAGGTGTCTTTAAAGGTGCAGTAGATCTTTTCTGACGTAGTTTTTACCATGTGGCTTAAAGTTCTCCCCACAGCCGCTGAGCGAGCAGTTATATAGAAGGTCTGGAAGTGAAACTGAAATAAATGGCCCCCGCTACAGTGAGAAATCAATCAATAACCCCAACCAATCACAAAAAATGGTCCGTTGTACACGATTAGTTCCTGACACGTCAATCATGGTCGTCTGCTTGTCCCTCCCCCCTGTACACGTACCCTGACACACGAACGCATCGACTCCCCAATGGTTAGGATGCCATTGCTAGAAGCTAGCCTCTGTTATGCTACGTTCACTCCTATGGTGATCAGATTTGGGCTGTTGACTGGCTGATCTGGGAGCGCCCGGCGGCCGGGGACGGAGGCCCCGAACCCAACCCGGTGACGGTAGCCTGGACAGTGACGGTAGCCTGGACAGTGACGGTAGCCTGCCTTACCGCTGGTGTCCAGGCTACTGTCACCGGGTTGGGTTCGGGGCCTCCATCCTCATGGCTCGGTTCTGTTGCACTCTAGTCGACCAAAATCCTGGACAATTTTGAAATTCCGCCCGGACATTTTTTAGGTATGAAAAGTAAGACATGTCCAGGAAAAAGAGGACATCCAGTCACCCTAATCCAAAGTCACACCTAAAGCAAAGGGGCAGCTAAAACGCGCGTGCTGCTTCATTTCTGTTGCTTGTACAACCTTAGTTCTGATGCGCGGCTGAAGCGTCTTTGCTGCTCCAGCTGCGCGGTGGTAAAGTTGGTCTGATGCGCGGTGGGCGGAGCTACCTTCTCCTTTCTCATCCTGGAACAATGGCGGCTATATTAGCTGTGATCAGCGGGTAGAAAGTAGTTAGAATCTATGTTGAAGTGAGAAAGTCCTCCTGAAAACATGGTCTGCAGTCAGTTCATCCAGATTACCATCCTGCCTTCAAAGATTATTTCTCTGTGGGAGCCGCTCAGACCCCCACATANATGTTCTGCTGAGCAGGAGGTTAGAAGAGATGCTGTTCAGGTTGTTCACAGATCTGTGAAGATCTCCTCTAGATCAGAATCATGGAGGTCCAAAGTGTTTTTCCTTTTATTATTTAAAAGACTCTCTATGACATTCTGTGAGGTCCTCTAGGATGTCCATCCTGTTGTGGTGAGGTGTTCTACCCCCACAGGGATCCAGCTGTCAAGGTGTCTTTAAAGGTGCAGTAGATCTTTTCTGACTCAGTTTTTACCATGTGGCTTAAAGATCTCCCCACAGCCGCTGAGCGAGCAGTGAGATAGAAGGTCTGGAAGTGAAACTAAAATAAATGGCCCCCGCTACAGTGAGAAATCAATGAATAACCCCAACCAATCACAGAAAACGGTACGTTGTACACGATTGGTTCCTGACACGTCAATCATGGTCGTCTGCTTGTCCCTCCCCCTGTACACGTACCCCGACCCCCCAATGGCTAGGATGCCATTGCTAGAAGCTAGCCACTGCTATGCTACATTCACACCTATGGTGATCAGATTTGGGCTGTTGACTGGCTGATCTGGGAGCGCCCGGCGGCGGGGGACAGAGTACCTGAACCCAACCTGGTGACGGTAGCCTGGACACGGCGGCCCCGTGCTTCCCCCCGCCTGCCTTACTGCTGGTGTCCAGGCTACCGTCACCGCGTTGGGTTCGGGGCCTCCATCCTCATGGCTCGGTTCTGCTGCACTCCAGTCGACCAAAATCCTGGACAATTTTGAAATTCCGCCAGGACATTTTTTAGGTACGAAAAGTAAGACATGTCCAGGAAAAAGAGGACATCTGGTCATCCGAGTTACACCTAAAGCAAAGGAGCAGCTAAAACGCGCTGCTTCCTTCCTGATGCTTGTACAGCTTTAGTTCTGACGCGCGGCTGAAGCGTCTTTGCTGCTCTAGCTGCGCGGTGGTAAAGTGGGTCTGATGCGCGGTGGGCGGAGCTACTCTATCCTTTCTCTGCCTGGAACAATGGCAGCTATNTCCTGTCTGTGGTCCAGACCAGGACCACATACTGGACCAGATGAGACCTGCTGCTGGTTCTGAGACCAGCTGGAACTGGACTCTGTGAGAAAGATTCTGATGGATTCTGGTTACAGATCAGAACCTGGAGGTTAGAACCAGATCTGCTAGATAGGAACCTGTGTTCAAAGTGTTTGAGGCAGACTGAGACCAGAGATCTGGAACATCTGCTGGTTCTGAGGTGACTTAGTGCTGAAACTAAGGGACTGGTTGACCGATGACCAATCAGATGAGTCAGAGTGAAAACTAAGTACACCCTAGTTATGGCTTTAACTAGTTCTGCAGGTACAAAGAACCAGACTTCCCGTTGATGACTGTAGGTTCTGTACAGGGCACCAGGATCTGGGTCTGGTTCCAGGTTCTTTTTAGTTCTATAGGCTCTGATTAAAGCAGCCTAAGCTTTAGGTTCTGGATGTGGTTCCAGGTTCTGTATAGAACATTTGGTTCTGTAAGATCTATCATATGTGCTGGTTCCATGTTAGTGATTGTTTTCATTTCCCATCAGAACACCATTCAGCTCTGATCCAGAACAGAACCAGACCTGCCTCTAACAGCTGGACTGACCTCTGTCTCTGCAGAAGTACCGTTACCAAGACGATGAGACTCCACCTGTGGACCCCAGCCCTGGTCACATGACCATTGGACGCAGCGCTGAGCTGAGCCACGCACACCTGGACGGATACACACACCCAGCAGCACTCACCGTAGGTACCAACCCACCCCAGAGTTCCTCTGTTTGAGCTGAGGTTCTGGTTCTGGAGTGAAGGCCGGATGGATCAGGGTGCAGTTCTCTGTGTGACCAACAGGAGGCAGCGGCAGCCTGAACCGCTGCATGTTGGTTTCTAATGAGCCTCCATCTGCCTGCTGCCCTGCAGACACAGTCAGATAATTAGGGACCAAACAGAAGCAGCAAACAATCTGAAGCAAATCAAAACAAAGAAACGCCTAACCCAGAATGGGTCTGAATCTCTACATCTGTGGCCGGTTCTCTGTCCAGCAGAACCAGGTTCTGTAGAACCAGAAATAATATGATGGAGATACTGAGGAGCAAATACAACCGTCTGGTCCACTCATTCCTAAAGGGAAAATGGAAAACATGATTTTTATGCTTCTACACCATCTTTTCATGGATTTTCTTCTTTAAGAAATGTGGACAGGTTCTGGTTTCCATTGACCGGATGTCAGAATAAAGTCAGTGGAAGAATCGGTCCGTTTAACCAGAACCGCAGATGTTCTGCTGAGCAGGAGGTTAGAAGAGATGCTGTTCAGGTTGTTCACAGATCTGTGAAGATCTCCTCTAGATCAGAATCATGGAGGTCCAAAG